TTAAACACGTTATTGAAAGATTTCTAAGATTTTATGACGGTGGTCTGATACATTTGTTCAGCGCTGAGTGTTGCTGCATCGTCTCTCATGTTCAGAGTTTATTCGGTTGTTATTTGGGACCTGTCAAAAACTTTGTCCCAACTTTGTTATCAGTTTTCATGTGTGGGAATTTTGCATTTTCACCCTCAAAGCGACCGTGTAAAGGATCCAGGAATCCAGAAATACAATATATGAGAGTCTTTAACAGCTCTTAGTCCTGAGATTTGGGGATGACGACAAATACCTGGAACAGTAGCCTTGAAGAAAATTCTTGGATGAAGGTGAAAGGCGGTTTTCCAGAACCACAAACTGCTGCTTCTACTGAAGCTCTTCGGACCATCTTACCTGTGCTGCTCTGCTGCTACACTGTGTGACAGGTTCTGCTCTCACCTTGGCCTCGGTGGCCTCCTGCAGCGCTCTGGCCTTCTGACTTGGCTTCCGAACCCTCTTCCCTTCCAGGATCACACCTGAACCCGTCCCGCACACCCATTGGTCGTCCTGACTGCTCGTCACTGGCTGTGGCTCCTCCCCCTCCTCTCTCTTCCGCCCTCTGCAATGACCTTTGGTGCTTGGATGTTTGGGGGCGTGGCAATAGTAGTCATGGTCGATGGGGAAATGAGCAGTGGGAGTGGTCAGCACCTGGGGGGGCGGGGCAAAACCAAGGGTCTGGTTCAAAGACACGCCCCCATCCAAGCAGTAAGGCATGGTGGAGGACGAGTCCACAGAGACAGGAAGAACGTCCAATCTGAGAGGGGGAGGAGCTGCAGGAGGAGGGGCTACCAGCTGCATGGGGTGGAGCTTCTGAGGAGGGAGCAGGATGATGTTCTGAGAGTTCTGGATCTGAATCTGAGTAGACTGTGGAACCGACATCTAAAAGAGACAAAAAACATAAAGGTTAAAGCAGAAATGCTCAGAAAATGTTGAAACAGACCAAATCCAGCTGGACTGCAGCACAAGACCTCCTGAAGGTGCCATTACCTTCACTTCACTGGCCTTCTGAAGAGTTCTGGTCCTCTGAATCCTCGTGGCTTCTCCTTTGACACCTTCACCTGCAGGAGGTCTGATGGGAGCTGCAGGGGAGGAAGGAGCGAAATGCTGCATGACGGGATGAGGAACGAAGACAGCATGAGGAAACATCTGAGGAGACATCTGAAGAGACATCTGAGGAGACATCTTAGGAGACATCTTAGGAGGTCTCTGAGGAGGTCTCTGAGGAGGTCTCTGAGGATTCCCCTGAAGGAGAAGGCCGTGGTGGTGCTGAGGAGGCCTTGGTGGTTGGATCAGGGCAGGACGAGGCTGCGGCTGCTGCAGCAGGATGAGCTTCTGCTGCTGCTGGACGGCGTGAAGCTGCTGCAGGATGCAGGCCTGCTGAAGCTCTGCCGTCTGCGGCTCCTCCGTCACGGCTCTCCGCTGCAGCATTCCTGCAACCGTCCTCGAGCCCCTCAGCTTGATGGTGGCGGGGTCTATGGGCGGAGTCAGCATCACCACCTTGTTTTTCCTCTGCTTGATCATCTCCTTACAGCCGATGATGTCCACGTTCGTGGCCTGCAGCAGCAGCAGGAAGATGTGAGTTGAGGAGATGCCCTTCTTCTCCCTGCGCTCCCTCAGAACATCCGCCGCCGTCTGCCTGGCGTTGGCTGGGATCAGCAGGTTTCCGATCCACGGCGTTACTGCGGCCTGCAGCTTGTAGTGGATCCCGACATCGGTGGCCCGGCCCAGCAGCGGCTGCCAGCCGGCGTGGACGCGGCGCCGCTTTCGGGAGCTCTGGTTGAACTTGTGCGCCCGGCGCTGCAGGTGGACTCGCAGCTGGTCAGCTGACACCATCATCATGGCGCTGATGTTGTGGCGCTCGTCCTGCTGCAGCTCTCTGGGCAGAGGTCCGAAGATCGTGGAGCGGCCGAACTTCCCAACGACAGTCGAGCGGACAGGAAACCTGGTGTGAGCGTCAGTGGAGGAAGGCAGCAGCACCGGGCGAAAGCTCAGGGAGGACACAGTTTCTGCTCTTTCTGCTGGAAGCCAGTCCTGTATGGGAGGGAAGCTGTACTCCTCCTCCTCCTCCTCCTGCTGCTGCTGCTGCTGCTGCTGCTGCTTCTCCTGAGTCCTCTCCTCCACCTCCAGCTTCTTCTCGTCATCACTGTCCATGTAGGGAATCACCATCTCCTCTTCCTCACTGCTCTCCTCCTCCTTTAGGGTCATCAGTCGCCTCCTGATGTTCTTGGCGGTGGCAACCGTCTTCTCTCTTCCTCGACTGCCGGCTTGTTTTTTAGCCTTTGGTTGTTTCTGGTAGAGAGTCACAGCATCAGAACTTCAGCAGGCTCTTATTGAACAACTTAGAGTGGTCCACTGATGTCTCGTAACAAGGTCCTCGTGACTGAGCATGAAATCATTAGCGTTTAATAAATGACGACACGAGATACAAAACCAGATTTCACTTTAATCTGATGATGTTTGGATTTATTTTGACTCTCCAAGTCGTCGCTTAAGTCAGGGAACCTTTAAAAAAATATCACCATGATGACCCCATCGATCGGCCAGAAACTGTGCAAACAGCAAGAACTGGAGTTTCACCTTCTAATCATGTGATGTGCAGCTTCGTCACGAAAACCTCCAAATCCAGACATGAAATCCTATTTCAATAAAATGACTTCGTTCAACACAACTTCATCAAAATTTCTAAAAAGAACACGTTCACTCCACATTCTATACAGGCAGAGTTTTCAGGTGAACTGCAGGCAGCGCTTCCACAGAGAGACTGAGAGGTAATCAGGTGACAGGTGAGTGAGTGAACAGGTGAGTGAGTGAACAGGTGAGTGTACCTGGCCAGGAGGTCTGCACAGTTTCTTCCACTCTCTGAGACACTGAGAATCAATCCGATGAGGAATCTCAGCAGCGATCTTCGCCCAGCGACCTGAAAACACCAACAACTGAACCTCAATATGAGCATCACAGCAGCGGGTTCTCCAAAGCAGAACCACAGCGGAGACGACAAAGACATCCAGGCTGACGTCTGCTCCGAGAATCTATTTCTCCACTTGGTCACGTCCAGAATAAATTCTAACAAATGTCAGTTTATTTACAGATGAGACTCTGATTTAAGTTTCAGCCTAAACTGCCTGAACTGTGCTGCTACAAACAAACCAGACCAACTCCACAACCTCCTAAATGAACTCCACAACCTCTTAAAAATTCTGCCTGAATTCTAGGATGGACTGAAAGTCTCTATTTTGTCCAGAATCTGAACTGCTATGTTTGGCGTCGCCAACAGTAGAAACGTGAAATCTGTCCGTGCTAATTATCCCGGTAGAACAAACAGGTTCTGGTGAATGATGGAAGGTGTAGCAACATGATGGAAGGAGCAGCGTCTGACCGACCCACCCACTCCATGCTTCTCCACCAGCTTCAGCAGCAGCTCTCTCTCCTGTCTGTCAAACGCTCCTCTCTTCATCCCCTCCTTCAGGCTGTCATGATACCTGCACACAAACAAACAACAAACGTGTTTTTGACCCACAGCGCTGTCAGGCGGATTCGGTTCTGTCATCGGGTCTCACCTGTCCCTGCAGGAGGTGTCAGTGCGTCCCGGAACCTCCAGCCGGATCTTCCACCAGTTCTTCTCTCCGTACCGGGACACGGCTCTGAGCAACAGCTGACAGACAGAAGCAGTATGATAAATATCCCCAGTATAATCCAATTGGAACCAGAACCAGAACTCACCCTGGTACCGCCACAGACCTCCTTCTTTGGGTAAAACACAGTAGTGTTACCTGTTTTTATTCAATGGTTCTGCAAGTGTCCTAACTTAGCCCCACCCCCTGCATACCTGGTCCTCCTCTTTGGTCCACGGTCCTCTCCTCAAGCTCGGGTCCAGAACCTGGTTCCACCTATAGATCAGCTGAGCTGGGTCACGACCCTCCATGAAGTAACTCACTGAGAGACAGACAGGTGGACAGAGAGCGCAGGTGTAAACTCTCAGACAGACGGACAGTGTGATGTCAGAGTGATGTCACAGTGATGTCACAGTGATGTCATTACTCTGCGTGTACGGGATGAAGTTTCCGATCCTCATCTTGTCCACCAGCTCTCTGAGCAGAGCGTCTTCAGATGGAGTCCAACTGCCACGACGGAGCGAATCGGAGACGAAACGCTGGAACATCTGGAGACACATAAAGGCCGTCCTC